TGAAGTATTGCGCCTGCCAGAGCCCTCGTGCCCCGCAGAACTGTCCTCCTTTCTGGGCATGACAGCTTTCTACTTGTGCTTCCTCCCCAACTACTCTGATACGACCTCACCACTACGTGCCCTCCTAAATCAGGACACCCTTTGGTCAAGGACGCCAGCATGCTCAGCAGCCATTCGCCAACTCAAGACACAGCTCACCTCCCCACCAGTACTCGCCCATTTTGACTTGGAAAGCCCAACATTCGTGACCTGTGACGCATCCAACACTGCATTTGGGGCTGTGCTGTCCCAGCTTCATCACGGGACGGAGCGCCCAGTAGCCTTCGCGTCAAGGTCGCTCACTTCTGCTGAGCAAAAGTACTCCGTCAGGGAGAGGGAGGCTCTAGCTTGTGTTTGGGCATGTGAGAGATGGCACATGTACTTGTATGGACAACACTTTACACTCCGCACTGACCACAAGGCTCTCACAGCCTTGTAAGCTACAACCGGGTCGGGGCACAAGCCGCTGCGGTTGTATAGGTGGACTGAGAGATTGCAAGCCTATGATTTCACCACCCAGTTCACACCGGGTAGGGACAACGTGGTGGCGGATTTGCTTTCCTTTGCCACCTCCAGTCCCGCACCGGACTCAAACCATGACACCTTGGACCAAGGTTTGATCCTCATACTCCACACACCCCTCCAAGCTGCCGTCTCACTGCAAGAACTTCAGGCAGCGTCCGCAGTAGACCCAACACTGATCAAACTCCGGACCTTCATTCGAGAGGGCTGGCCCACAAAGGTGTCATAGGAACTAGCACCCTTCCACAGGGTCCTTTCACCTTGAGGCCTCGTATCCTAACCATGGTTCATGAGGGACATCTGGGTATCGTGAAGGTCAAACAATGCTGCAGGGTATCCTGGTGGCCAGGTATTGACAATGATGTAGAAACCATGGTCAAGGACTGTTCAGCATGCCTCACAAGCGGCAAGACTGGCCACACCCCTCCTCCCCCTCTGCAGCCCGTGGCATGGCCGACCAGCCCATGGACTCATATCCAGGTCGACATTTTCGGTGAACTCCATGCCATGCCTCAGCACTTGTATACACAGTTTTGTACAGTTTTGTTTGTCATTTGAGAAATTTTCCAGATTCCATCAAGGCAGGGGGTAAATGTAGCATATGACCGTATACCATACTGCTACATGACGTTACGGCAGTGTCACAAAGCCGTGGTTGGTTGAGTGATGCCTCACACCTGTTACAGCAGTTGAATAAAGACCGTTGAAAAAGTAAGTCGTGTCCTCATGTATTTCGGAACCAACACTATTGGTTTATTTAAAAAAAAGTATAGTGTGTGAACACTGATTTTTTTTCTGATTCTATTTGTGAAAATTGATGAAATGCATAAATATGCCTGCAGATCTGTTTGCCAAAGTTGAAAAATAAGTTGAGCATCTCAGTTAGGGCTGGGGAAGGGAAGGGGGGGGGGCGGCTTTATTTGATGGTAACGCACTTCAGATTAGCAGCCAGTACAGTGTGTGTTTAAAACCCATGTGCTGCAGTCGATCTAAATAAGTTTATATAACGCAACATACAATTTTACAAAAATTGTAAAAGTATTATTCCTGAATATTTATTTCACTTTCAACCACTCGACATGTTCAGTGGCATCAGTGCTATACATACACATATAGTTCTTATTTTTTTCGTTGTATTTTTGCCCTCTATGGACAATAAAAGCGGTATTGTGCTATGACCAAAACATAAATATAAATCTATATAAATAAAACATGAATTGGAATATTTCATATCACACACTTTTTATGCTGTGTCTTTGATTTAAAGATGACGTGATGAAGAATACGCAAAAATCTACAAAAATTGTAGAAATTGTAACATATGGGGTAACCCATGTGTTACAAACATCGTAGAAATTGCAGCACAAGGGTTACAATGTGAATGCTGTGTAAAGAGTTGTGTCTATTACTGCAGATGAGAACATACGCTTGCTTGGTACAGAACATACTGTACATAATGTTAGGTGGTTAATTGCTTTTGACCCGAAACAACTTTTGTTAGATTATTTTATTGTTTCACTCACCTGATTATGGCACAAAGTTCAGCGCACTGTAAACTGAGACTTGGAGTGAGAAGGTGCACCAAGCTCATCAGATACAGCACTCCGTTACCTTGTACACGTCATGGAACCGCCTTTGCACAATATAATCTTTCTGTAAATGTTGCACTGAGGCGACTCTTCATGAGCAAAGTTAAGCTACATTTGTGATGGGTGTCAGGTGAAGCCACGATGCGCGCCTGTGCGCACTTCTTCATTGATCATCGAGTCGGCAGATGAGACACCGAAATGAAGAACTGGAAATTTAAAATGCGAATGATTTCACATGAATTGGAATGCTAGTCCCGGTTCCAATCAATTCTTGACACTCGATAATCAACTCTCAGTATGTCAGACAGACACAATTGTCTCATGCATCACGAACAAACTGGCAAATAGGTTTTTATCAACACAAGGCAAAATCAATATTAACCTGCATTTGGCGGATTGGAAGAGGATGTTAATTCAGGAACCTGCATCCGACAACAATATTGTTACAAAAGAGTTGGATATCATCTACATTACATGTGCACAGTGAAGGCGAAGCTACACCCTGTGAGGAAGGGTAGCAAGGAATATCAAATAGGACAGAACAGAGAGGGCAGAACAGGTGTACCGATTGCTGCTATGCAAAAACCCTTGTAAAGAATTTCAGTGTAAATGAGAGGCCAGTACGATAATCAAAAGGGCTGCGAGTAGCAATTTGAGTGGTCTCACACTAAGCATCTTAATCCCTTAGACATGTGTCTACGGAGACATGCTAGTGAATCACCGCTGCCAAACATGGAGTCAGAAGTGTCTCGAATTGCTATGGGACGCCATCGTTGGAGTTGGAATTGTGAATAAGGATGGGAGAACTCTGCTTCTTCCACCACTCATAGTTATTATTCTTTTGTTTTTAACTACACTGTAATCGACTGTTTGCTCCCTGTACAACCAGTCAGAGTTTGGGCCAAATTATGGGCTCTGAGTCAGGTTTGTTTTCAGTGAATGTGTGAGGCAGATCATGTATTTATATTGGCTTCATTAAGACATGATCTTTCACTCTGACTCAATCAGTTCCCAAATGAGCTTGAGGCAAGAATCAATGGATCCAAATTTGAAACTCAGGTCCTCAAACGGAAAAGACTGAAGACTGAAGTTCCCTCTCCAGGTCGGAGATGACATCTTGCCCTAAGTCGGGGAGGTCAAGTATCTTGAGGTGTTGTTCACAAGTGACTGAAAGAATCAGATCACAGATACAAGCAGCAAAAAGTTGACTTGACTCTTAGAGGTATGGTGAGAAAATTAGTTGTCCAGCTCAGAGTATGCTCACCTCCATGGTCAAGTTAATGTGGAGGACCCAAGATGCTGGGCCCTATTTTGGTAGACTAGCACACATGCACTCGGCGTAAAAACGGGTGTGATTTAATTTTCCTGCCAACACAAGTCGAGTCTACTGCGTTTGGGGCTGAGTTGCACCTTTCTTGGTGTTTCACCACCTGGTGTTGCCTCGCCGCTGACTCATCCGACAATGGGACAACACAAAGTATTCTGCGCTCGATGTAAATACAGGCCGTTAGTTATTGTTAGTGCTTGGTGAAGTGGCTGGGCAGAGGGAATTTGGGGTTTTCTGCTTCGACTGCTGCCCCCATGATGTAATTCTGCATGAGCCTAAGAAGATGCATGGATGGAACTCTACTTCGATTGTGATAGCGCAGGGGTGGCAAACTCATTTCACATTGTGGGCCACATACGGCCTTGGTAGATGTCAAGTGGGCCGGACCATTAAAATGACTCTCTGCTATAAATAACCAAAATAGTGTCTTTCCTTTGTTTTGGTCTAAAGAAGCACAAGAAGATTAGGAAAACGTTGTCATTTAACAAACAGATATTTTACAAAACATTTCATGAAGCTCCTTAGACAAAGGTGCAATTTACTTTTATCATTCACATATATGCATTGCAACTGATCCCACTGATTGCACAAAGGCACACAACTTTAACAAGTAATTGGTATTGAAAAATATAGTAATGCACTTTTAAGATTAAACGAGATTTATAAAGAAAGGAATTTTCAAACGATTTACACGAGCATATAAAATCTAAATGTAATCCCTGCCTACACCTTACAAACTAAGGAGAGTGCTATTAAATGTGTAAAGAATAAAGTATTCACATGTCCTTGATAGCGTCTGCTGTGCTCGGTCTGTCTCAGTGACAGACTGAGGCCGCTGTTGTCTTCTTCTCTGATCAAAACAATGTTGTCATTTACTCTGATCAAAACAGTGTGTCCCCCTAGCGGATATTCCATGAATTGCACCTTATTAAAAATATTCATTCCGTGTCTTTTATGCATTTTTTCACTTTTGAATTATCCTGCGGGCCTGATCAAACCTCCTTGCGGTCCAGCCCGCGGGCCGTATGTTTGACACCACTGTTATAACGTTACTTGTCTCTAATTTCGATCCATCAATCCATTTTGTAATCCACTTATCCTCACAAGGGTCACGGGTGTGCTAGAGCCTATCCCAGCCGTCTTTGGGCAGTAAGCGGGGTACACCCTCAACGTATATGAACAACCACTCACTGTGCCGTATTTCATGAGACAATTAAAGGTCTCCCTCCAGCTGGGAGTTGCATAAATGATGGCCCCCCCTCGAAGAAAAAGGGCAGTAGAATGAGTTCATGTCAATGCTCTTGGGTCTTCAAGTTGAAGATTGCATGACTGTCCATGTCTTGCCTTGTTATATTACTGTATTTTGTTATTTTATGTGAACTGTTCTGGAAACTTCTTTCTTTCAGCTGCAGCTGTTGTGAAAGCACTATATAAACAACAATGTAATGTATTGTATTGTACCGTATATGAGTATGAGAGACAAGACATGATGAGGCTAGCACTGACCTACTGTCTTTCTTCAGAAATGGGACCCGATGCTTAAACTGGTGGCTGAGGGCTACGCCGCCAAGTGCATCTGGAACCACAACCCAGACCTGGAGGACACCGGAGAGAACCTGTTTGCTGGCACTGGACCCCTGGACCTGCGGGTGGCGCTGGAGAAGTGGTTCCTGGGTGAGTGAGACTGCTGAGGACACACATGAGAAAATCAATGAAAAGTTGTGAACCTGCTATTTTTACATTATTTGATGACATTATACATTACATTACTTCTACATTTGACTACATTGCATACTACATTATGTGACACTACCTTATTTGCCCACATTACATTAAATTATAACTAAATTATTTTACCTCATTATGCACCATATTTGACTGTGATATGTACTGTCATTTGACATTGTTTCATTTTTTACTCCATTATGCAATAATGATCAAATGAATTTGACACATTACAAACTACATTTTTTGACCATGTTAGATATTTGTTCATTATTTGTCTGCAGTACATACTACAGTGCTACGACTGTCCTACCTAGCTTTGCGCATGAACTGATGAAGTCTGCGCTAATGAAAGACCAAACGGCTTCTTAGACAACCAGAACAGTCTAGTGCTGTCACGTTGCGAGGTGGTGATGGACCCCAAAAAGCAGGCAAGAGGGAGGAGCAGGGTGTACTTGACAGAATGTATTAAAACACGGAGAAAACTAAATCCTAAACAAACAAAGTCCTGAAAACAAAAAGAATCCAAAGTAGCAAACAAAACCATGACTGAAGCAAAAACTAACCATAACCGAAACATCACCGGAAGAAACATGACCGTAGCAAACAAACAGCAACAAACACAAACAAGCAACAATGACCCGACCATGAGTAGTCGGGCTGGGAGCCCTTTTAAAGCACTAATTACAGAATAACCAACAGGTGTGCAGCTGCAGGGCGAGCCCTACAGTGCCACCTGTTGGTCCCAAACAGAATCATGACAAGTGCTAATTGATTCAACGACGCTGAGAATATTCACAGGGTTTACATTCTCCAATATATGACCACGTTGCATATTACGTTATTTAACCAGATTATAAGTGATAATATTTGAATACATTATATGTTGCATAATACATTGTATTACACACATTATTTGACCACATTAACTAACACTAGGGATGGGTACCGAAGTCTCCACTTTTTTTGTTGTACAGACCCTTTTGTTTCGACACTACTGTAAATTGTGATTGTGCTTAACTGGAAGAGACTTTCCGTGGCACACTCGAATGCAGCAGAGCACACACACCAGTGTAATGGCACCCACAGAGGCTTTTACACAAAAAATACATTTACAGGTCTTAAGAGATTGAGACAACTACATGTGCATCCGCCTGATGGCAAGCCACACAAATACGGAATATAAAGGATACAATAATCCATCGTTTTTCGTGGTTAATGGGGACCAGAAACCCCCCTGCGAAAGGTAAAACCCACGAGGTAGGATTTGCCCCCCCCAGGAATTTTCGTGTATGTTTATGTAGGTACCAGCATGTTTAAAAGATGTAAACAGCATTTATACTTTACATATCAGAGACAAAGATGACAGCAATACACGTATTTCCTTAAATATTTAATTATAAAACCTTATACAGTAATTAACATTCATCAACATTGCTTCCTGAGAGAGGTGAACAGGCTTGTGTTGGTGGCGTAGAAGGCTGCTCTCACTTGAATCATACAGGCTTTTGGTTCCCTCGAAGACTTTTCTGCTGGAAGCACTGACAGTGTAGCTGAGGTTTTGAAATTGGAGAAAATATGGTGAATTAGTTGAAATAGGTTTAAGGCTTCTTTTTTATCAGACAGCACCCATCACAGAACTCCCGCGAGGGACACAGTCGAATGCCTTCTCCAAGTCCACAATACACATGTAGACTGGTTGGGCAAACTCACATGTGCCCTGGAGGACCCTGCTAAGGGTATGAAGCTGGTCCACTGCTCTTCCTGAACCTGAGACTCGAGTTCCTGAAGGACCCTCCCCTCCAGCACCCCTGAATATAACTTAGCAGGGAGGCTGAGGAGTGTGATCCCTCTGTAGTCGGAACACACTCTCCAGTCCCCTTCTTAAAAAAAGATACCATCACCCCGGTCTGCCAATCCAGAGGCACCCTCTCCGATGACCATGCTTTTTAACCACATCGATGACTACAACCCCAGAGAAAGTAGAGCCCTCCTCAGAGTCCTCAGACTCTGCTTCCTCTAAGGAAGGCGTATTGGTGGAGTTGAGGAGGTCTTTGAAAGATTCTGCCCACTGACTCAAAATGTCCCGAGTCGAGGTCAGCAGTGCCCCATCTCCACTGTAAACAGTGTTAATGGCGCACTGAGATGTCAGTTGGTGGACCAGAATTTCCTCCAAGCCGTCCGGAAGTCAGCTTCCATGGGCTCAATGAACTCCTCCCACGAGTTCTTACCTTGGCGACCGCTGAAACGGCGTTTCGCTTGGCCAGCGGGTACTGTCAGCTGCTTCCGGAGTCCCATAGGCCAGAAAAGACTGATAGGACTCCTTCAGCTTGACAGCATCCCTAACTGCAAGTGTCCACCAGTAAGTTCAGGGGTTGCTACCATGACAGGCACCGACCATCTTACGGCCACAACTCCAACACCTGGGACGTGAGCAAAGCTCTACTGGAGGTGGTAGTTGAAACTTAAAATTAATTAAAAAAAAAAAAACAGCAACATCAACAACAACTGACAATTCCCTTTCAGTCAGGCAAAAGTGCATATAACCAAGGAATACAGAAAGATTTTTTTTTCATAAAACACATTCATAAACACAATCAATGTCAATGTCATAGTCTTTTTCAACAAAACTTTTAACATAACCTTGAACATCAAGGTCACCGGGGTTTCCAGTCTAACCTCATCTGTCAAACGATAAATTACTATTATAGACAGGAAGGGCCTCAGAACTGATCCCGAATGCAGTCCCACCTTCAACTTAAACTTGTTTGTCACACCTATAGCACACCTCACCACTGTTGTGCTGCCCTCATACATGTCCTTTACTACTCTAGCATACAGTACTTTCTTACAAACATTCCTCCCAAGACCATTATTATAAATTATTGATGACATTGAAGTGGAGCGGTCAATCGGAGGTCAGACATTCATTCATTCAATTCATTTGTTTATTCAATTGGAGGTTAGCGCGTCGACCTCACAGTGCAGAGGTCGTGGGTTCGATTCCGGCTCTGGCCTCCCTGTGTGGATTTTACATGTTCTCCCCGGGCCTGTGTGGGTTTTCTCCGGGTACTCTGGTTTCCTCCCACATTCCAAAAACATGCATGGCAGGCTGATTGAACACTCTAAATTGTTCCTCGGTGTGACTGTGCCCGAAGACAGCTGAGATTGTCTCAAGCATGCCCGCGATCCCTGTGAGGATAAAGTGGATCGGAAAACGGATGGTTGGATGGATATTCAAGTGGAAGTTAAAAGCAGCCTGTAGCACATAAACTATCTCTCAAATTAATTATAAAGAGTGGAGAGCGTCACCCGGTACTAGTTCCAAATCCAGTCACTAAAAATGTCCTTGTCTGTGTGTGTGTGTGTGTGTGTGTGTGTGTGTGTGTGTGTGTGTGTGTGTGTGTGTGTGTGTGTGCGTGCACTTATTTGTGTGCGTGTGTGTAGAACATCTCTACTATGACTTCCATAACAACAGCTGTAATGACGACAAGATGTGTGGACACTACACACAGGTCAGTGACACACACACACACACACACACACACACACACACACACACACACACACACACAAAATTGATCCAAAATTTGTCCTTGAAACAGGCTTAATCTTCCTTCTTCAAATATCATCTAAACTTTGTTGATCTCACGATGGACTCTCACTGTATATCATTAGCCCATTGTTCCATCTCAATGATTGTCATTTTCAGCACATTCAAGAAGGTTGCTGCATTTTTCCACAGTCTGGTGGATGTGAGTGACATGTGAGACTTTGCCATGACTTTGCAGATGGTGTGGTCGGATACTCACAGGGTGGGCTGTGCCGCCCACCTGTGTAACAACATGGAGGGCCTGGCATGGGAGAAGATCTCTTTCCTGGTGTGCAACTACTACCCAGCGTCAGTGCTAATTTCTCTAGATTACTAGAGCTAATGGTAATAGCACTGCTAGATGACAGTGCTACTTTTTCAACATTACCATCGCTAATACTATTGCTCACAGTACTGCTCCTAGCAGTAGTCCTCTTATTTACCACAGCTAATGCTAATGTCAAGAGTACTACAGCCCAGCGCCAGCCCTACTTTTTCACCATGATCAGATCCTTATGCGAACTAATGCTAAATACTGGAGTGCTACAGTGGAGTGAGAGTAGCCTCTTCCGGAGATCAGTGTTTGCATTGTGCCGCCACTGATCTATCCTGTTCTGTGTGTGTGTGTGTGTGTGTGTGTGTGTGTGTGTGTGTGTGCGTGTGTGTGTGTGTGTGTGTGTGTGCGCGCGTGCGTGTGTGCGTGCGCGTGTGTGTGTGTGTGTGTGTGTGTGTGTGTGTGTGTGTGTGTGTGTGTGTGCGCACGCGCACCCCCGTGGGCATGTGAACGCATGCGTGCAGTGGGAACTATGAAGAAGAGCGCCCTTATGTGGAAGGAGACTCTTGCTCCCAATGTCCGGAAAAACTTCAAAAATGTGAAAACAACCTCTGTGGTATGACATTATTTTAAGTACCTTACTGCTAACACACACACACGCGCACACACACACACACACACACACACACACACACACACACACACACACACACACACACACACACTCAGTTTTTGAAAACAGTTTTATTTCAGAACATATGACATTATTTGACTATACGACACATTAGTTTTTGACTGCATTACTTAATGCATTGTTTTCCTTATACATGATACATTATTTGACCACATTAAGTACGACTTGATTGGGTTAATTTGCACAAAAAAATAATGACACGACATTACATACTACATTATCTGACTACAAAACACACAATGGTGCCTACGGTTGCACATTTTTAATGATGGTACATTAATTATTCCAATATTTGACCACATTGCATATTAATTTAAAAAGACAATGTTACATAAGATGTAATTGAGTACTGTATGTTACACACTGTATTATTTAATGATGTTGGACACTTGCTTTGTGAAATGTGTCATTTACATCATCTTAAGTCTGTTCCGGGAAATCAAAACAATGGTAAAAGCTAATAATATGTTAATTTGGTGTGTGGTTTGCAGTTCCTGACATGGATGACAATGAGGGTGGAGAGGAGGAAGAGGAGCAGACTATTTTTCATCTTCCTACCACAACAGTAGAGTCATACCACCAGGGGGACATCACCACCAGAACCAGCAGAACTAGCAAAACCCCCCGTCTGCTGCTGACCGACACTCTTCCTCCTTATCACGTGACCTCCGAACCTAAATTCTTCTCAGGTGAGGAGGAGAAGGAGGATGTGCCTGTTCTTTCTCTCACAACAACAGAGACATACCACCAAGCGGACATCATCAGCAGGACAATCCCTCCCCCACTGAGTTCCACTTCAGCCCAGCGGAAAGCAGCCATGAGGAAAGAGGAAGATTTGAAGGGAGGACAGCAAGAAACAAGAATGGACGGGTTACCAATCATCACAATATCTCACAAAGAGATGACGAGTGACGCTTCATCACCATCACCATTTCCGCTAATGCTTTTTCCTTTACTCTCCTTTACCTTCTTCATCCTCAGTGGGCTGCCATAGTGAGGATGTGGACAAAACATGCGCACAAAAAAATACTACTAATAAAAAGGTTGGGTACCTGTTATGATAATATGTATACATTTATTGAAAATGTACTTCAATATCGTAATAATAATTAAAAGCAGCATTGTGATGACCACAGTTTGGAGGTTCTGGGTTTGAATCTCAATTTAGGCTCTCCAGTGAGGACTCTGCAAGTTTTATGAGGCAAATTGGAGCGCTAATGAGCATGGATACGAACTAACATGGTGAGGCAACTGGGCAAGGGTGACAAATTATTTTGTTGTGGATTTTTTTTTTTCCCAGTTAGCTGCTAAATGTAAACTTTTCTGTGTCTAGTGTCCATTTAATAAACTGGACTGACATGGCAGGACCCTCTAGCAGGAAAAACAAACTACAAACAGGAATTTATAAGTATTTTGACATTTTTACGGATTATTTCTGAGTTTGACGAGCCTTCTTTAAGGTCTAAAGTTAAAAAAACGGGAAGTAGGTGGCATGATGTGTATAAGTTAATGGAGTGCGTGTCTGATGAGCTTGGTGCCTCCTCCCAGTGCAAGCCTCAGCCTGCAGCACGCAGAACTTCATTGCCATAAACTGGTGACTTAAACAATAAAATACGTTTATTGTCTCAGAGGAAATCAGTGTGCGTTTTTTTGTTTTGTTTTGTTTTTTTGTCATAAGACGTGCTGTTATTTTGAATGATTGTTACTTGCAAGTGCACACACACATACACTTATACACTCATACACATCGAAATAGGATTGGTATCGGCTGACCACTGGGTTCAATGGATGTGTGAGGTCAATGGATATGTCTTTTGTTTGGAAGTGCTGCTTAATGTTGTTAAAACCACAATCTTGTAACAAACTGTATGAGCCACAACAGGTTTGAGAGTACTGGTCCTGTCATACAATTAAAACTAAATAGTCTCTCTTCTTCGTCAGCTTTCAGAATTTATAACATTACTGTCATATCCTGCAAATAACAAACACTGGGCTGTTCATAACAAGAGCTACTGGAAACGATCTCCCATAATTACAGTAAAAGTTTTTTTTTTAACTACAAAACAAAAAATACAAGACCAAGCCAGCTTGGAGTAGACCAGCAATTCAGGACTTGTGTCCGAATTACCGATCCGCCACTGGATGCAACGTTTCAAGCAGAGCAAGAAGAGCTCATTGATGCTCCTTTGGCTGTCAAATGAAAAGTCCTTTGTGAGGTATCTGTTTTGGACAATGAGGATGAGGCAGAGGAGGAGGGGGACTAGAGAAGATGAGCGGCGAGGGATAGCGAGAAAAGCCTGAATGGAAGTTTACAGCGATGCTGCTCTTGGCCAATCACAGCGTGCGGCTGTCATCTGGGCTTTGTGATTGGATGCTGGTCAGAGGCAATGAGAGAAGTGGAGAGAGGAAGGAGGAGGAAGAGCAACCTCTTCATCATTCCATCTATGCTTTCTGCGATGGAATGCCTTGCACACGGCACCATCATGACAACTGCTTTTTCGCAGCAGGAGGAGGGAGACTGAGCGGCCGACGTCGTGGATTCTTATTCCTGTCATTCCTTTCCTTATTCGCTTCTTCCTCCTCCTCCTCCTCCTCCTCCCCTTTTTCCTCCTCGCCATCCTGACACCTCGTAAGACCTGGCCTGCCGCCAGGATGGGCTGTCACCTCACTCGGGCCAAGGTGAGTGACCTCTTCCAGGGAGAAGATCAACGATGAGGCATGTTTTTTGGTACTTCTGGGTATGTGGTTACCATGGAAACAAGGTTTCAAAATATTGTCCTGAAAGTGACGGTAGTCACATGCTATGGCAACATCTGAGCAAGCCTTTTTCTCAGTCGCTTTGGTACCTTTCTCAGATCGGCATTTAAATGCTCAAAACTATCTGTTCAATTTTCATGTCATCATTGTATAACTTGCGTAAATCCAAAAAATCACTTCATTTTTTCAATTTATTTAAGTTGCTTTGGTGTGTCCATGCAAAAGATCATGTACAATTCTAAGCTGTTGACCACATTGTGAATTCCTTTTCTCATGTTCATCAAAATGTATTACAATCCTTTAAAACAGGTGTGAGCAACTGGCGGCCCGTGACCACACTACGAGTGGGCCCTTTTCCATGAAAAATATGAGGCAATCAGGGTGAGGGTGAAAAAAAATCACAAGTAAATCGTGGAAAAAAAATCAAAAACATGAACAAATACTGTAAAAATAAACTACATCTATCTATCTATCTATCTATCTATCTATCTATCTATCTATCTATCTATCTATCTATCTATCTATCTATCTATCTATAAAAATCCTCGGGTGGTGTCCGTCACCCATTCAGCTCGGGTCCTCTACCAGTATCCTTGCTGTTCCCAGCACTGAGCTTTTCTGGACTGAGATGTCTGATGTCGTTCCCGGGATCTGTTGCAACCACTCATTTAGTTTGGGGGGTAATTCCCGCTAGTGCTCCGACCACCACAGGCACGACTGTCACCTTTACCTTCCAGGCTCTCTCCAGCTCCTCTCTGAGCCCTTGGTATTTCTCCAGTTTCTCGTGTTCCTTCTTTCTGATGTTTCCGTCACTTGGGAGCGCTACATCCACTACAATGGCTTTCCTCTGCCCTTTATCTATGATCACGATGTCCAGTTGGTTCGCCATTGCCATCTTGTCAGTCTGTATCTGGAAGTCCCACAGTATCTTCGCTCTGTCATTCTCCACCACCTTCGGAGGTGTTTCCCATTTTGACCTTGGGGTTTCCAGGCCATACTCCGCACAGATGTTTTGGTAGACTATGCCAGCCGGCTGGTTGTGGCGTTCCAGGTAGGCTTTCCCTGCCAGCATCTTACACCCTGCAGTTATGTGTTGGATTGTCTCAGGTGCCTCTATGCACAACCTACACCTTGGGTCTTGTCTGGTGTGGTATATCTGGGCCTTAATGGCTCTGGTGCTCAGGGCCTGCCCCCGAACAGCCAGGATGAGTGCCTCTGTGCTGTCCTTCAGGCCAGCCCTCTCTAGCCACTGATAGGACTTCTTGAGATCAGCCACTTCAGTTATGGTCCAGTGGTACATTCCGTGTAGGGGCTTGTCCTCCCATGATGGTCCCTCTTCCAGCGCCTCATCCTCTGTTCCCCATTGTCTGAGACATTCTCTGAGTACGTCATCTGTTGGAGCCTTCTCCTTGATGTATTCATGGAGCTTGGATGTTTCATCCTGGACAGTGGCTCTCACACTCACTAGTCCCCGGCCTCCTTTCTTTTGGCTTGCATACAGTCTCAGGGTGCTGGATTTGGGATGGAACCCTCCATGCATGGTTAGGAGCTTTCAGGTCTTAACGTCCGTGGTCTGAATCTCTTCCTTTGGCCACTTTATTATTCCTGCAGGGTATCTGATCACTGGCAGGGCATAGCTGTTTATTGCCCGGGTCTTAATGAGATATATATCTAAAATATATATAAAACAGAAATGAAACTCTGAAGCTGCCTGTTTTGAACTGTGATTAGGGGTCAACTGTAGTCAGCATATCATACCACCACAATCACCATGAAATGGCAGACATTTCTTTGTTGCGCCAGCGGCATACTTAAACAGAGTCTGGCTGGACGCTGGTAGGCTAAAAGCGGTCACTTGATTTTCCAGGTGCTATCTTACATCTCTTTGCTCACTGTCACTAGCGTGGAATTCAATATCTTTTCGTGACTATTTAATCATTTGTTGAACAAATATTGCGAAAATGGCATTAAACGCCATATATTTTCATGTGACTACATGAGAAGCAAAACATGGGTCGAGAATTGTCTCGCCGGGATGGTTGGAAACCAAGTGACAACTTCTATTTGTGTGCTGTCTATTTATTCTCCCTTATTCTTTCTGATGGAACAATAAATAAAAATCAAAAGGCAAGGCAAAGGTGTTACAATAGTTTAGCATGACATATTTTGTTGCATTGTACCTCGAACACCACAAAACGTCCTCATGAGATGCTTTGCTTTGTTTGTCCACCTATCAAGGACATGACTATAATTTAAGCCATTTTATAAAGGGTGTGTTGTGAGTATTCCAGGCTCAATTTTCGTTTGAGCATACAAATCTGGTCGAAGGACTGGAGTGTCAAAACCCGCCCCCCTCGCAATCGGTGAATTTCTGCAAAGCAGAGGTTGACTTTTTAAAAAAAAAAAACATGTTCATTATTATTGTTATCAGAAGCAGCAGTATTAGTATATATTTATATAATGTTCTATTTTATTATGTAATGCGGGATTTATGCCTCTATTAAGCCACTACGAACCAATGACAAATGGTTCCCAGATCTGCTGATTATTGGATACATTCATCTGTGTTTTTATGCAAGAAAACGTGCCAAAAATCATAAGGTAAAACCGCAAAAGGTGAAGTTCTGGTCACAAATGAAAACCTGCAAAAGAGTGAATCTGTAATACCCGAACCGCAAAGTCGGGAGGGCAACACTCTTTATATTGAGTTGCCGCACGACACAATGTTAAAGCGTCTGCCAATGGAAGAACAAGCAATTGGACAGGATCAACAGCCACAGTCAAGAAGAGGAAGAGGAGTGAGGTTGAGTTGCGAAGGAGTTGGAAGGCAAAGCAAAGGATGAAGCTGATGAGGCCGAGGGCAAATGTACATTCCTGATGAGATAACACAAGGCACCAGAAGACCATGTTCTAAATCATCGGCTTTCGGTGCTGGTAGACTGCACTGTAATTCACTCATGGGACTGCGTGTATAGTTTTCCTGAATGAGAGAGTCTTACTTTGGCATTCATACTTCTTTTTAGTTTAGTTTTTTTCTGTGCTATACAGTGCTGTCTTTTTCCTTTTTGTATCGCAATGAGATGGTCTGTCAATGAACTCAAGTACAAACAGTGAAAGCGTAAATGTGAATCTCATACAGTCTTTTGCAGTCCATCTATCACATGCACTCAGGTGTAACTTACAATTTCAAAGAACTGTTTCCAAAACTTGAGCACCAGTTTCCATCACGTCATTCCAAAGTGTATTTTTACAACATGAATAAGCAAATTAGAAAATCTCACCCATAGGCCATGACACGACCTGCTGGTCATTCTGATGGCACCGACGTGTTCATGAGAACGAAGGCTTTTTCAGAGGATTCATGGTGTTTTTCCATTTCTCTTTATTGTTTTGAGAATTGCATTTAGTATTTGCAAATGCCAAAGATGATTGAAGAAATGTACCAAAGTGTCTGATAAAAGCTGTAAGATGACTTGATGAAAATATTGCCTCACATGTTCACGCTCTGGCAAACTACGTTCTGTAGCGTGGGTGCCAGTGTGCGCCGACGGTTCTCCAACCACCACCAAACTTCCACACCCAGCCGTACACCAGTGTGAGTGACACTGGAGGCAAGGTGGGTGAAATGTCTTGCCCAAGGACTCAAAGACACATGACTCAGACAGAGAGGGATAAAAAAACAGCTGACCCTCCACTGACTGAATGACTTGCTGGACCTCCTGAGCCATGTCAGTGTCAATCATATCTTTTGGGTAGCAACTTCCTAATTTCATGGAGCTATTTTTTGTTTTCATTTTTGGGGGGTGTGGGGGGGACATGAAGGAAGGGTTTTGTCAAACTACCAAAATATGACACAATAACAAATGAAATTTGTTTTTTTTATATCTATAACAAAGGGTTTTTTATGTCTTAAATATACATTGTGTCTAACAGCCAACTATATTTCTTGTAAAGAAGCAAAGCTAAATTGCTTAAAAACAGAGGGGTGGCCGGCGAGCCAGTGGTTAGCGTGTTGACCTAACAGTGCAGAGGTACCGGGTTCAATTCCAGCTCGGGCCTCCCTGTGTGGAATTTGCATGTTCTCCCCGGGCCTGCATGGGTTTTCTCCGGGTACTCCGGTTTTCTCCCACATTCCAAAAACATGCATGGCAGGCTGATTGAACACTCTAAATTGTCCCTAGGTGTGAGCGTGGATGGTTGTTCGTATGTGTGTGCCCTGCGATTAGCTGGCAACTGGTTCAGGGTGTCCCCCGCCTACTGCCCGAAGACAGCTGGGATAGGCTCCAGCACCCTTCGCGACCCTTGTGAGGATAAGCGGATCAGAAAATAGATGGATGGATGGATGGATGATTCTACTTACCCCAAAAGTCAAAATCAATAGTCAGAACTCTATTGTGAAAACAAACAAACAATAATAATGACACAAATATTTTGTACCACGAATACATGAATATACGTTTAACCTTATAGGCCACTCCTCCTGGTTGACAAACAGCATAGCGTACTGTATTAATTTCAGGTTCCGGTTCTGTGTAGTAAGTAGATTTTCTCTTTTCTCACGACATACTCTCTCTGAGTGTTCAATCAGCCTGCCATGCATGTTTTTGGAATGTGGGAAGAAACCGGAGTACCCAGAGAAAACCCACGCAGGCTCGGGGAGAACATGCAAACTCCACACAGGAAGGGCGCAGCCGGGATCGAACCCACGACCTCTGCAGTGTGAGGTTGACGCGCTAGCCACTGGTCCAACTGAAATCAATTGGCAAATTCCTATAACTGGCAATGAGTCCCTTTAGCCACTCTTCTTTGTAGAATTACTTTAACAGGAGAGGGTTTTTGGGCATGAATGACCTTTTAAAGGTCATGCCACAGCATTTCAATTGGATTCAAGTCTGGACTTTGACAAGCCCACTCCAAAACCT